AGTGACGTGGTCGAACTGGCGTGCGATATATCGCATCTTTAAGGTAAAAAATCTCGTCAGATTTTGAATTTTTAGCAAAAAAAAAGGACGATAGCCCCTGTGCATGAGCCTAAAGAATCATTCTAAACCCACAAATCGGCAAAATTCAGAGAAATGAAAGCGGGATAGTGTTTGGAAAAAAACCTCGCATTCGATTCAGCTATCGATTTCTGTATCGAATGCGAGGTTTTTTTCCAAACACTATCCCTCTGAATTTTGCCGATTTGTGGGTTTAGAATGATTCTGTAGGCTCATGCGCAGGGGCTATCGTCCTTTTTTTTGCTGAAAATTCAAAATCTGTCGAGATTTTTGACCTAAAAGATACAATATATCGCATGCCAGTTCGACCACGTCACTTGAGCTTGACGAATCACCTTAAAATTTAAAATGCGACGAAAGAAACGTTAAAATTTGCGGCTCCAGTCCAAAATTTCATGTCCGACTTCTCACATTGACTCGATCCACTGTGCGGCGTTACCTAGAAAAAAAGGGATGAAAAATGCGTCACGTGATACTCGAACCGCGGAGGAATAGCGCGTAAGTTCTCGAGGACGAGACATCCGAACAGGAGTGAAACGCAGAGCCGATCAAGAGAGGAAAATAGGTACCGCCAACGTTGCCACATCGAAGAGGAAACACCACGCACGCGGGGGAATCTATTCCACTTTCTTGCCCAACTCGACAACGGTGGAGGTAATAGATACCGGGGTTGATAGGAGCATGCGAGGGAAAATCTCGAAGACGCAATCCGGCGGAAAGATAACTTTTCCTGTATTAATCCGGCGCCGTGAGCCCGTTATCGAACGGAAACCCTTTGCAGGGATTATTCGGGGATATTTTAACTGTTGAATCTGGCCCGAGCTCGTGACTTCCGCTTCCGGTCGAGGACACACGGTTGCCGACCAATCAAAAAATGTTCGGTGTTTTACCCGTGTCAGAGAGGGATAGGTCCGATTTCTAGTCCAGTGTCCAACTTTTCGTCCGCAGCCGTCCACGAAGATGAAATCTTTGCTCCCGGAAATTGCTTCGAGATAGGCCTTGTATCCAAGGAACGTTTTCACGGTATTTGTCCCAGGGAAAAATCCACTTTGCGAAGTCGGGAAACTCAGTTATGCAACGGAGCAAAAATCGAGGCAAAATCGGTCTCTTGCAAGGGGCTTTCTTATAAGAATTTTGACCTGAAGGGTCAAATAGCAGCAGTACCCCATACAATACACGGTGTGCCCAAACAAGTTTGAATTGCTTTATCTGCCACAATCAAAAGCTCTTTAAAGTCTTGAACTACACTGCCGTGCTACAGAAGAAAGCCGTGCCGTATGAATATTCGAGAGTTGCCACATTACCTTCGATAAAATGTTTATTTTTAAGGAAATTTATGAATATTTTTCCTTGAAATTTTTCAGGAACTTTAAGTGAAATTGCAAAATTATCCGGAAAATTGGAGCGAAAACATTCTTATGCGTACCAGGACATTCGTGTTTTATCAAAAGAAATTTAGTAACGCCTGAAGGTTCTTACGGCGATTTTTTTCTAGCACGGCAGTACGATGTCCCTTGAGTTTAGCAAGAAAAATTCTGTTGAACCTTTGGAAAATAAAGGCGATTTAAAAGTATTTTGGGGCTATACTGCCGTGCTAAAGAAAAACGCCGTATACACGTATATATACGGGGAAGGCGCTCTGAGCAACTATTCCACCTCGGAAGTATTGCACAGTATCAGGCGAAAATGAAGGCGTTCTAACGTTTGTAAATTGACAGGTACCGTTCTGCCGTGCTAAGGAAAAACGCCGTATAAACATTCGAAAGTTTCCAAATTTTCTTCTTTAAAGTGCTTATTTTTGAGGAAATTTATGAATATTTTTCCTTGAAATTTTCAGAAACTTTAGGTGAAATTGCGAACAAAATTATCCGGAAAATAGGAGCGAAAATATTCATATGCGTACCAGGACATTCGTGTTTTATGGAAAGAAACTTGGTAACGCCTGAAGGTTCTTACGGCGGTTTTTTTAGCACGGCAGTACACTAGTACAGTCAGTATCCCTTGAGTCAAGCAAAAAAAATGCTGTCGAACTCCTGGAAAATAAAGGCAATTTAAAAGTGTTTTGGGGCTATGCGTGCTAAGAAAAAACACCGTATAGCACATACGGGGAAGGCGCTCTGAGCAACTATTCCACCTCGGAAGTATTGCACAGTATCAGACGAAAATGAAGGCGTTTTAACGTTTGTAAATTGACTGCTACCGTTAGCTAAATCTCCGGTGGTAAAACCCGTTATTTTATCGAAAAGAAATTGTCTCCATAGTTAAATGCCCATGTTTCTTAAATACCTCTTAAAAAATAAATGTGTATCTACTACTATAAGTACAATTAGTACACCTAATAGTATAAGTACACTTCTTGCTTACATCTTATCAGTCCTAATTTTCGTCTGGGCTGATCACACGCGTTTAGTGGTTTTTTTAGCCTTGGTTTTAATTTTTTATTTGTGTTTAGCGGTTGATAAAGGCTCGGGCGACCAGCCGAAACGTCCTGCATATTCTGCCGAGCAACGCAAAAACACCGTAAACGCCATTTTAAATTTTTTGGAAACAATGTATCATAGCAGAAATACGTGTGTACTTCGGGACAATGTTTTAACAGAATTCTCTCTCAAATACTATCAAGAATATAACATGAAAATTTGAGGTGCATTGGTAAGACAGTTTTTATTTCATAAAGTTTTAAGTGCCAAAAAACGCGGGAAAATCTTGATGGATTTACTGCGTTTTTGCTTAGCACGGCAGTATTGTGTTTATTACAAAGGCTGTTCAAAAAGTACGTAGACTGATGCTGTAACTTAAAAACCAATGTATGTAGATAGCTGTTCTTTGTCTCATTTTAAAGATCAACTCATTATCTATCGATTGAAACCAAGACTAACTCATTTGGTCAAAAATTGAGAAAGTTCTGCAAGTTTAAACTTTGAAAGTAGGTTTTACCCCTACGGTTTTTATTGAAAATTTTCGCTTGCCAACCGATTGAAATGTCCATGATTTGTGATATGCGTCGAACAGATAAATGTCTATTTTCCCGAACAATTACACTGACCGTATTAATGTTTTCCGCAGTTAAAGACGTCAAAGGCCGATCAGACTTTGGGAGAACTTCAGCTGACTTCCGACCGTCTTTAAACTTTTTATGCCAACGGAAAATGGCGGCCCGACACAAACACTCATCTCCGTACGCGCCTTTCATCTCATTCAGCGTGTCCGTTGCTGATAATCCGCGTCGAACACAATAACAAATGACAAAGTGTTGTTCTTTTTCAACTACCTTATTTTTTTCCATATCGACCGCACAAAAATTAGAGCGAATTGCAACAAAAATCACTAAGAGACTACGATAAACCCGCGCGCACCTGTGACGTGTCACCGACTGAAGAAACTTCCCGAGTTTACGGGGTAAGTCTAGCCGATCGGGCTTCTTACCCATTGGACCCGTATGTACCCTAGTCGGTCGACGATTACGGAAAAGTGTTTACACAGTGTGCTATTCATGGTTGCTAAGTGTTTCTGGTGAAATGATGTATCAAAACGTATTTCAAGTGACAACTTTTGGCAAGCGAAAACTTTCAATGAAAACCGGAGGGGTAAAACCTACTTTCAAAGTTTTAACTTGCACAACTTTCTCAATTTTTGACCAAATGAGTTCATCTTAGTTTTAATCGATAGATAATGAGTTGATCTTTAAAATGAAACCAAGAACCGCTATCTTTATACATTGGTTATCAAGTTACAGCTCCAGTCTACGTACTTTTTGAACAGCCTTTGTATTTTTAGCCTTGTTTCCCACTGATTTTGTGTGTCTTTTTGTCCCACTTTGAGTACCATAATGGACCACTAGACAAGGTACGAATTTCAGCATTCTGATACATGTTTCTCAACCAAAATTTCACGTAGAACACGATACGCACAACAAAAATTACCAAAATCAACTCCTGACGAAGATATTTAATGATTCTTGATGCGTGAATTCAAACCACCCGCTCATGAAAACTCGATGCTCTACGTGATTCACATCGCGCACTAAATGTTTATCACGACAGTCTCTGCGATGTAAAAATCTTCAACTGCAATCTTGACACTTTGGCTCAGCTATAGCAAATTACCAATAGTTTGAAGAACACATGGTGGAAAATGAACATTGCTCGATTGAGAAGCTTGCTGAAACCGTTGTAGTGCGCGATTTGACTCACGTAGAGCTTTGAGTTTCTTGTGAGCGGGCAGTTCAAATTCCTCGTAATCAGTGCGAAATAAAAACGTTAATATCTTCGTTAGAAGTTGATTTCGGTAATTTTCGTAGTGTGAATCGTGTTTTACGTGAAATTCTGGTTGAGAAACATGTATCAGATTGCTTAAATTCGTACCTTGTCTAGTGGTCCATTGGACTGAGTTAAGCAGAAAGGAACCAACCCACATTTTGGAAAAAATTGAGTTATGAGTGGTTTTGAACTCAACCACTGCTCTGGTATCTATCGCCGAAAATTCAAAGTTTTTGTTGGAGCAAATTTTGCAGAAATTGAACTTGAAGTTTATCTTTTACATTGAGTCTCATGCAGGAGCCAAACTTTAAACCTCTTTATCTCGGTTCGATCCCAATGTGGCTTGGTTCCTTTCTGTTTAACTCCGATCAATTGGACTGAGTTAAGCAGAAAGGAACCAACCCACATTTTGGAGAAAATTGAGTTATGAGTGGTTTTGAACTTAACCACTGCTCTACTATTTATCGCCGAAAATTCAAAGTTTTTGTTGGAGCAAATTTTGCAGAAATTGAACTTGAAGTTTATCTTTTACANTTATGAGTGCATTTCAGACTTTGCCGATGCGCTCATCGTGATTTTTGAGGCATTATCTATGGGAAACAACTCTTCATTCTGCTCTAGCAAAAGTTTGCAACAGGCCCATTTGTATTACGATTGTTTCAGCGGCGTCGATCCACACCTCGCGGGGGTTCTCCGGGTACCAGCAGCCGTCGTGCGACCCGCCGCTCTCCCGCTTCCGCTTCCTGGGCCCCTCGATCCAGGCGGCGATCCCTTTGACCCTCCTCTGGCTCACGGCCTGCACGCTCAACGTCCTCCTCCTCCTCTTCGCCGTCCGCTCCTTCATCCACAAGCCGGAGCTCACCGTCCTCGCCTCGGTCCTCCTCACGTTCAGCCTCATGACCCTCATCGCCGTCGTCCTCCTCCTCCGCATCGACATCAAGTACGACCCCGACTGACCCGGGATCTGCCCGGAGTCGGCCACCCCGGGCATCAGCCTCATCGGCATCAACCCCGGCGTCTCCCAGGACCGCACCAGCCGCGTCGCCTGGATGATCTAACCCATCCCCAACCGCTGTGTTCAATCCCACAGACACGAAACCCTCCGCTCGTCTTTTGGGTTTGGGGACTGGTCGAAGCTTTTACTTTCGGGGACTTAACACTTAATGGGCAACGGAGATGTTAACTGTTTGAGGAATTTGCGATTTGACCATTGATTCATATGTAAAATTTCGCGGAAAACACGAGAGTACCGCTGATTTTCCCTGAAAGCAACGCCTAAGCTCGGAAAAAGTTCTCAAAGTTGAAAGCGTAATAATGGAAGGAATATCCCACGCTATCCTGAGTGTCCACCTCTACATCAAGACAAACTCTCCATGCAAAGATAGGGAGCACACATACATTGGCAGGGCTGCCACCTTATTCGGGGACTCTAAAACTAAAAACACGTTAACCCTGCTAATGTATTTGTTCCCTATCTTCGCAAGGAGAGCTTGTCTTGATGTAGAGGTGGACTCTCAGGATAGCGTGGGATATCCCCTCCATTTTGGCCTCAACTTGAGAGCTTTCTTTGAGCTTGGGGATTGATTTCAGAGATACCCAGTGGCACCATCGTGTTTCTCGCCAACTTTTACACAAGAATCAATGGTAAAATCGCAAATTCCTCACACATGCAACATCTCCATTACAAGGGAGCACCAGTAATCACTCTTTTTTCGGCTGTTACCTACCTACACGGTGGATGACGAGCTTCGGGTGACGTCATAAGCCAAACAAGTTACCCAAAGTTCGGTAAGTTTGCAAACCGAAACTGCCAACACGTTGGTAAACATCAACCAAGAAGGTAGGTCAAGAGTCGAATGTTGAAGTCCCGAAAGTTAAAGAGCTTCCACCATTGCGAAGATACTAGTGGAGGTCTCTTGTCTCTACAATCCAGAGCTAGAAAGCCATGCTCTAACTACCAAACCACGTATCTCGCTTTCCAGAAATGCAGAATTCCTGCAGGCTGATTGTTATGCACTCTCTTCCCTTCTTTTCTAATTCTTTTCCCCTCTCTCCTCCTCCTCCCTCTCTTACCTTTCTTTCTCCCCTTCTCCTTCTCCCCTCTTTCCTTTCCTCTTTTCCTGCCCTCTCTTTTGCTCCTCCTTTTGCTCCCTGTTCTTCTCTCCTGTCCTTCCTCCCTTGTCCTCTCCTTCTCCTCTTACCTCTCTTTTTCCTGCTGCCTTTATATCTTCTCTCCCCTCTCTTCCTCGTACTATTTCTCTTTTTCTTTGTATTGTTTTTCTCTCTCTTTTTCTTTCTCTCTTCATATTATTTCATTCTACTAATTTTTCATATTTTTATTATATCCCTGTATCTCTCATTCCCCCCGCTTTCTCATTCCCCCTTGCCCCCTTCATTCTCGCCTTATATTTATTTTCCATCCTTGTTACGCTCTATTTTCTCCTCCTTCTATTTATTTGTAACTGCAGCAGCCTCCGCGCATAAAGCATATGTATGTAAAAATCTTTTTGTATAAAAACAGGCAAGCTTGCAGTCTTATTTACTGCTGAGAGCTCTCTCTTTTTTAATTGAGTGTAATCTCTCTTTTGTGAGGGGATCTTTGCTCTGTTTTGTTTGATTAAATTGAACTTCCCTCTCTAGAGTGTTATTCTGGGTCTGTAAATAGTGTTCATAGTTTTTTTCCAGTCCATGTAAATAGTAATAGCTACAATCAATGCGCACAAGCTTAGGAGAAAATAAGCTGAAAGTGTCCTCTCAGATTCTAAAAATTAGATACCTAAGGAGTCAGCGTAAATTCTTAGAGAGCAGTTTGTTTCATGACATTTATTGGTTCTGAAATTTACCGAAGACCAAATAAACAGAGTTTTCCATACTTTCCGATGGTGGCAAAATTTTAATGTGCAATAATGTATCCTCACAAAATCATGTGTATCATACGTATATGAGTGCCCTATTTCAGAATGACGCAACGTCCCAAGATTGTGTGACTTTTCTGTTCCTTCTTTCTTATTAAAAAAAGAGTTCTTAACTTTCCACAAATATTCAAGGAAATTTTTTCCTACATCAGGACAGTTTTAGATCGAAAATTTGTCAAAGGTAAATGTTTTGAATTGAGGAAGAGATACATCGACAGCTGTACAATCTTACCAAAACTAAATGCATTTGTGCCCTTTTCCGAATAGGTCATTTCATAATGATAACAAAGAATTCCAATAGGAAAATGTTGAGCTTATTCTCAAACTTGGTATTTGAGGTGCCTAGAATCAAAACCTGCAATCTCCTTTGCGCTGTGTAAAAGTATGGTAGTATAGTGAAGAGAGCAGAATTCTCTGAAGGGCTTTGGGAGGATAGGAGACTTTGGCGGGTGGGTTTCGCAGAGCGCCAGAGAGCGCTATAATAGCGGTTTTTATGTATGTATGAAGAGAGCAGGTGAGTTTCTATTTCTTTTATAAGAATTTATCACATGTTAGCAAGAAAATTATGACAGTATTTTATGCACAAACTCCTCTTGATTACTCCTCTTTAAAAATCAAGAAACATCTACCAAATTTTTAGCCATCGGAATGGAAATTGCAATGGCCTGTGTCACACTATCAAAATACTCCATCAAAATGTCACACGGTCAATGCTGTGATTGGTCCAAGTCATCGAATAAGCCAATCACAACAGCTGACCATGATATTTTGTTGGCAAGCTTTGACAGTGTGACACAGGCTGATGATACTCGGCGATTCATGTTGAATTGAAAGCCAATTAAATTTAAAACTGCATTTCGTTTCCCGCACAACAAGTACTCCCGACAACAATATTACGTGTTCAATAAATGTAACGTACTCGGTATCTCTGGGGTTGCTTTGATATCTATTTTCCCCTTTTCTCTGATGGTAGAGGAACTATTCCCTACGCAATAATTTGACACCTCTGAGTTTATGTTGCATACATATAGTATTTGTGTTTCTTCATAGTTTTATTTCTAATGTTTTCCCTTTTTTCTCATGTTAAGTGATTATTCTAAACCTTCTACACGTGCCTATCTCCAATTTCATATTTGTATCTGTCAAGCCAAACCGTTCCACTTAGTTCCAACGAAGGAGAAACACAGTCCGCGGGCTGATTTTTGAAAATGATAGACAAAGCGATAGACAAAAAAGACCTAGCAAAAATAGAGCGACACCAATAGGTGGAAGCGGGTGGTTGCAATGGACAAAGCAGGTTAGTTATGGACTAACTAACAGTAACCCACTAACTATTGCGTTTTGTCCATCATTTTCTCCTTGAGTCTATGACAACCACCCATTTCAACCAATAGGATCGTTCCATTTCCCTTTCTTTTCTTTTTCATCGTTCTGTGTATCGATTTTAATTATCAGCCCGGGCTCTTACACGTACCTGAAGGGAAAATATCGATGATGTGCGTCATCAAGAAGTCGCGGCCGTCAGAATGTCATGAAATTTGAATACATATAATTCTGCTTACGTACTTACTTTTATACGCCAAAAAACTAACCTGTATATTTGTAAAAAAACTGCATCAGCTTTTATTTTGCTAAAGAATTGTGATACCTACTCTAAAATGTGTAAAATGTTTGATTTTTGAGTGTTGTAAATAAAGTAATTACATGTACAGCTCTAACTTGAATTAATTTTGTTTTTGATAGGTCCTTTAAGCATCTTCACTTATAAGAGTTTAATTCACGTATTCCCCTCGTAAAAATTGGTGATAAGAGCTGCGTTTTAAAATACCATAGGAATTCTTATAGCCGGCTAAAGAAGGCTAGAGAAAATCATGTAGCTGGCTGTAGAATGCGGAGAAAATCATACGGCCGGGCTTTACGAAGCGATAATCATACGGCCGGGCTTTACGAAGCGATAATCATACGGCCGGGCTATACGAAGCGATAAGAAACGATGCAGCCGGGCTGTAGTTCCTATCGCCAGGCTTTACACTTTATCGCCTGGCTGTTGCTTTTTCGCCATCGATTTTAAAGGCTATGAGAAATTGAGTAGAAATTCGTGTGCTTTGGAAATCATTAAGTTTGATACTGAACCACCTTAAAATCAACAAAACACACATTATATTTTCCTTTAATACATATTTTTTTCATCAATTAAAACGAGAATAATCCATACAGGATGTGCAAACATTTCAAAATCATGAGTTGAATAACGCTGACTCCGCCAGATTAAATATTAGTGCCTAACACAGAGCGGAGCGGCGACGCACTGGCGCCTACAAACCTAACAGGGATACTTCACGCATTGCGCAACGCGTGAAGTATCCCTGTTAGGTTTGTAGGCGCCAATGCGCGTTTCGCGCTGGCTGCCCGCCTGCCGCACCGCAGCGTGCCACGGCGCTTGAAGCAACTATTTTACACCAGAGGTATTGCACAGTATATACGGAACTGAAGGTGCTCTAATATATTTAGGAATGGCAGGCATCCTTCAAAAGTACGGAGCTTTCCTCGCAAAATAAATCAAGATACTACGCCGAAAACTCACTCCGCAAGTCCTAGCATCCGTAATTAGTGACGTTTAGCATACACTTTATCGTCTGGCTGTGAGTTGCTTAATCGCCATCGGCTATGAAAGACTATAAGAAATTGTGTAGCCGGCTATAGAAGCTATTGGAAATCTTACAGCCGGCCGTAGGTCTATGGTATTTTGGAACACAGATTCTACTGCCATTTTTTACCAGGGTCCTTAGCGCAATGATCAAAGGAAGTGCAAAAATGAAAATACAAAACTTCATTCTCCCGCTCTATTCCAACCTCATAAAGTTTGTATTGGGAACAATGTGAATCCATCAACATCATGCTCAGAAACATTTTCGGACTGACTACTTACTGATATGTAGCTTAATCGACAAGAAACATACGTTGAATCATCGTTAAACGAAAGAATATCGGGTCAATAGATAACAGGAATGTATATTTTGACAAATAGGCAGAAAAAAATTAACTTAAATTTTATTTAAGATGTACATTTACGTACGGTCCTTTCTGCAATTTTCTTGAAAGGATCATATCATTTAATTATAGGGACCAGAGGCTTTTCAATGCTGCAAGTTTCATCTTCAGTGGCACGAAGATGGATCACATTCGTTTAATTTTAGGCAGAGTCCCTGTCAAAACGGTCGAATGGGGGTCCTTGATATTCCAATGGGTCTTCATGGGGATTTTATAGAAACCCTTTGAAACCCATGGGCTCCTATGGGTTGAATGAAGAAACCATAGGTACAGTGCATAGAGTCGGAATGTAAGTGGGAGAACTGGCATGGTGCCACTTTTAAGAATTTTACAGATCCCGAATTCTGAGACTCCTGTGTCACGCCGGGTCACTTTTTCGATACATAATCGATTGTTTTCGATACATGGGGACCCGGCCATCCGATGTAAACAAAGAAGATAGGAATTACTAAGTTTTCCACTCCGCCATTTTGGATAAAAAATGTATCGAAAAAGTGACGGAAGCTCGGCGCACACCGGACTCGGAACTCGTCGACCAGAACATGGCGCCAACTCTCCTCTTCACCTCACGACGCTGTGTACTCCATGGAAGAGACCGACAGGAATCCATAGGGTAACCGGTGTGACCTAAGGCCCAGATGATTCCATCAGGCTCCTTCAGGGTTTCCATGGAAACCTGAACCCGTTCCTACAGAACCATCTCGACATGGGTACCTCAATATACTGCCGTGATAGCGAAGAGAGCCGTAAGTGCAAAAATGAAGTTCTGAGAAAACGGGCTCTGAAGCTTCTGAGAGGAACATTTTATTGAAAAAAGTCTCCGTTCCTTGTAAAATTGCCACTATTCATCCGGAAGACTCCTAGAAATCATTTGGGGGATTAAAACTAGACCGATTTTATTTTAAAGTACATGAAAAAGGTAAAATTCAGTTTCGTGTTAGGTTATTGTCAGGCAAGACAGCCGTAAGTGCTATCTTCTACATGCTTTTGTGGTTGCGTTTTGGACGCACAACAAACACATTTTCAGGTTAGAAATTGGCAGAAGAGGGCGGCACTTTACTGGGAAGCACTGTTTTCATTGGCTCTCATACACCTGCGGCTGTCTTGAAAAAAACCAAGTCATTTTTTGTGCACTTACGGCTTTCTCATACGTCTCGGTTTCATTAAATTAGGATGAATTTTGCTGTTTTAGCTGTCTCAGTAATTTCATCTAAAAGAGTTTAGACGAATTTTGAAGAAAACTCGATTTCGAAAATTTTGCACTCATGGCTCTCTTCGCTATCACGGCAGAATAACACTCTGATTATTTTTATTGTTTAAAATCGGCATTTATAGACCAAATTATGCATACATATTGCCATTTCATGGTAAAAAAATTCCAATTTTATTTGCCATGAATCCCAAATTTATTTAAATATTTTCGTTGCACCGTGCTACTTGGGTTTCAGGATCATCATACAAGTGGCGAGGCGTGAATGATCGATTATCGATATTTCCCCGTTTGAAACTATGATAAAGAATCGATTATTAGGCAGGGTTGCCACAGTCAGGGAATACCGGGAAATGTCCGGGAATTTTAAAAAGTCAGGGAAAACCGAGAAATGTCAGGGAATATGACGAATATGTCAGGGAAAATTTGTTAAATCACCTTCCTTTGCTTTCTAGAATGGGTTTAAGAACAAATTTTGCCTGAAAACTATTTTCAATTATGTCTTTTTAACCACCTGTCACATCTTAAATTGTCAGGAAATTTCACCAAAATGTATCAGGAAAATCAGGGAAATGTCAGGGAATTTCATTTTCTAAATTCTGTGGCAACCCTGTTATCGATATTTCCCCTTTTGAAACTATGTTAAAGAATCGATTATTAAGGTGCTCGTTGCGAACACCCTGGAAGTCGATCCATATTTATAGTTTTAAATGGCAGATCAATCGATATATCGCAAATCACCATTACATCATATCGTGCGGACAAGGAGGATGCGTCTTTATCTGCGGCTGAAAGCGAAGGCTGTCAGAGGTTTATTCTTTGCCTTTGGTCTCGTCATCTGCCTCCTGCTTCGCTGCTTTAGATTCCTTGCTCTCTTTCTCTTTGATCCCTTTCTTTTCATCCTTCCCGACTGTGCTGTGTAGTACACTCGCCAGTTTCTCCGCGTATTCATCTTGCATCTCTTTTTGCTGAAACACCATGAACATCAGGATATTTTTTCCCTCGCAAAATCTAGAGGAGTACACGATAGCAATAACTTCAGTTAAGGTCTTCAACGGTTGCCATTTTTTGTGTCAGAACGGCATGCGATATATCGCATTAATTGGTTCCATTTTTTCAGCTACTCGTCATTTTTCTCAAATTTTGAGATCGCAATTCTGTTGTCAGGAGACTAGAGCACTCACTTACCGATTTCAACAAAGAAATTCAACGTAATAAAGGCGTGTTTTTTTTTTTTTTTAGAGAGAAAATATCCCATTCGAGTGCAGTTTCGATATCGGTATCGAATGCGATGTTTTCTCTCTAAAAAAAAAAACCACGCCTTTATTACGTTGAATTTCTTTGTAAAAATTGGTAAGGGAGTGCTTTGGTCTCCTGACAACAGAATTGCGATCTCAAAATTGGAGAAAAATGACGAGTAGCTGAAAAAATGGAACCAATTGATGCGATATATACAATGCCCCTCTGACACAAAATATGGCGTCCATCGAATCACCTTAAGGTTTTCGACGGTTATGCCATTTTTTATGTCAGAGTGGTGTGCGATATATTGCATCAATTTTTTTCATAATTTGAGCTACGACTTGTCATTTTTTCCGAATTTTGAGATCGCACTTCTGTTGTCATGAGACCAAAAAATTTATTTACCTAATTTGACAAAGAAATTCAACGTAATTGAGGCAGGGTTTGTTTAGAGAAAAAATATCGCAATCGATACTGATATCTAAACTGCACTTGAATGCGATATTTTTCTTCTGAAAACCCCCTGCTTTTAATGCGATGAATTTCTTTGTCAAATTTGGTACATAAATTCTTTAGTCTCATGACAACAGAAGTGTGATCGCAAAATTCGAAAGAATGACAAGTAGCCGAAATAATGAAACGAATTGATGCTATATATCGCACGTCGCTCTGACGCAAAAAATGGCAACCGTCGAATCACCTTAAAACAACCAAATTTCAATTCGGTATGGCCTACCGAGGTTCTCGCCTCAGGTTATCAAAGTTTCTTAACGGAGAAACTGAACTTCGGTTCCAATACCGAAGTTTTTGGTTAGAAACTCTTTTTTTTTAATTGAACAATTCGCCTTCTGCTGCGTGTGCAGCAATTGTTGTTACGAATATGTTGTGCATGCTGATTTCAGCTCATTACATACTCGACTCTCTAAAGGCGTTTATGTGCGCAAGTACCTAGCGCAATCTGTGGGAGAACAAACGAAGTAGGGATTGAGAGATTCAATCAACCTCACTTCTATTATTCTCCAACAGGATGCTCTATTTGCGCACATAAAATGCCTTCAGAGAGTCGAGTATGCAATGAGCTGAAAAAAAGCACGCACAACATATTCGGAACAAACAACAACTGCTGCAAACGCAGCTGAAGGCGAATTGAAAACAACCATAAAATACACGTCAAGAAACGTTTTAGCTCTTTAATTAATATTGTTACCAATAAAGAGTTATATTTTATGGCTTTTCATGGGGGATTCTCGAAAAACTGTTCATCATCAACATCAACTAAAACATAAACTAACTTTAAGTGCAAAATAAATTATACTGCGCTAAAAATTTTCCGTTGGGGCTGAATTTTACTCAGGATTCAATCAACTTTGAAGTCAATGTTAAAAAGAAAACCAACAGCTACAAATGCTGTAAATAACACAAAGGGTCCCCTATTGGCCCCTGCAAACCGTTTTGGGGTACATTTTTGTCGCAATTTTCTTTAGCTTCAAGAGCGTTGTGGTGCTGGCGCTTCAGACTTGGCGGGAAGTTTTTGAAATTTGTAGAGGGGTTTATTTTATTTTGCAGTCTCCTGTGAACGATCATCAATGAATTAAAAAAAAAAAAACCTATTGTATTTAGTTAAATAATTTAGATTCCATCTATTCAGACGATTCTGTACGTTGATGAGGGTATTTAATTTAGTGGTTGTTCCGGACTGTATCCTTACCTCAGCGAGAATTGCAAAGAATTCTTCTTCAGCCTGGATGACAAGCTGATCATCCTTGTTGATTTGGATGTGAGGTTTGGTCTCTTTCAGCAACGCTCCAGCCCCCGCTGCTAACTTGGCAGCAGCCTTCGATTTTAACCTTTGTTCTCTCAGCTTTGCCTCAATTATCTTCTCTCTTCGACTCTCCCGATCAAACATCTGAGATTTCAGAAAATGTTTATCTCAATCATGTCCGACAGTCAATAATACTAGCATGTATACTGCCGTGCCAAGGAAAAACGCCGTATGAACATTCCGGAGTTACCAAATTTCCTACGATAAAATGCTTATTTTTTGGGAAGTTGTGAATATTTTTCCTTTAAATTTTCAGAATCTTTAGGTAAAATTGAGAACTAAATTATCTGAAAAATTGGGAGGATAATTTTCTAAAATTTATCAGGAAATTCGCGTTTAATTATAGGAAATTTGCCAACGCCTGAAGGCTCATACGGCGTTCTTCCTTAGCACAGCCGTATATTGAACCGATTATTTTCCAAATCACGTAAGCGCAAATCTCTATTTTGTTAGGAGAGGAGTTGTTTTTTTTTTTTTTTTTTTTTTTTTTTTTTTTATTTTTCTCTGGTATAATCAATCATATCTGATTTCAAAATGACCTTCTAAAAGAACATACATTTTTTGGAATTCGAAGATTGTCAAAAAAGCGAAGAAAACGGTCTTTTCTTGTTTTTCTCGCATTTACAATTTTGACGCTTACGTGATCTGGAAAATAATTGATTCAATTATTTAAACATTATTTCTTTTCATTTTTCTAGAGGTTTAGTAGATGCAGAGCCCGAATCAGATAAGTTTTCCTTTTTGAATGTATCCACGGGAAATGGAATTCCGTAACTCGCGCATACAGCAAAAAAGCACCGGTGTACATACGTTTTACACACTCAAAACTTGATCGAAAACATCATTTGAATCAGCTTTTTAAATACTGCCGTTCGAAAAAATGTAGTAAAAATGAGGAACATTTGCCTCTCCTCTCATGAGGCTAAGTCAAATTGACCACGTTAATCTCAAATTGGTTATATATATATATATATATATATATATAACGAAGCAATTAGATATGTACAAGAACTTAGTTCCTGTAACAATGATACCATCAATTACGTCATATGCTCTGACTCTCTTTCCTCACTCCGCACCTTGAAATACAACCCTACTAATCATCCCTTTTCAATGTTAATCCATGATACTGTTCATTCCTTATTGGCCAATGGCCACTCCACCTCTTTTATCTGGGTACCGGCTCATATAGGAATTCTGGGAAACGAAACAGCGGACAGAGCAGCCACTGAAGCATGCTCTTTGCAGAACATCACTCACCATCCATTCACTCAGCAAGATGCTAAAAAAGCTATGTGCGAACTTATCACAAAATCGTGGGAACAAGAATGGAGCACAAGTGAACAGAATCGTCTCCGTAGAGCCCCCATGCCATATCCAAGAACATCTAACCACAAATCAAGATCATGTGAAGTCCAAATTGCGCGTCTCAGGATAGGTCACACTTTTTTCACTCACTATCATATCATATCTAAAGAAAACCAACCCACCTGCCACTTCTGCAATTCATCACCTCTAACCATCAAACACATACTTATGGACTGCTCTTCCCTCCGACATCACCAATCACAGATCTACTCCCCTTCATTCAACAGAAATACAAACCCTCTTACATGCGATGAACCTAATATTGCCACCAAAATTCTGAAATTCTTTACCTCTCTTAATTTAAAAATCTAAATTTTCGTTTATACTCCTATATATTTTCAAAATTACCTGTAAAGACGTTAATAGCCTGAGTCGCTGAATGTCTCAAAATTATAATAACTAACTATATATATATATATATATATATATATATATATACACACACTCAAATTGGACCATTGCGTGGAGAAAACAAATCTCACGCAAATATAAGTTTCATTAGATGTCTGTTTGATGTCAGTCTCTTAGTTTGATGAAACTTTAACGGTGACGTCAGAATATCCGATGAATCAAAAATCAGTTGGAATGTTCGAGGATAAGATATGGTTTTTTGCCAAGCAAGCATCTATTTTAACTCGGGCGTTGCAGGGCCGGATTTACCCACTTGCCGCTCATGGGCCGCTTGTGTTTTGCCGCCTCCTTCTCATTCATTTTAATATATCAATAAAAACCATCAAGTGAACGTGCCGGAGGGAAAGGGATGCTTAAGACGCGTTTACTCGTGTTGGACACATTTTTTTGCGAAAGCCCTGTCAACAGTGCTAGCCAAAGTTCACGGAACTTCCGTTCCGTAAACCTATTTCTGTGTGGACAACGCCTTCCATTTATAAGTATTGAACGAAAAACTCATGGAAAAACAAACATGAATGCGTGGTTTAATAATTTTAACTTCTGCCGCCGGTCGCTCCGCGCCGTGCTGACCGCACTGTGTTTGGCGCAATGCGTGAAGTATTCCTACAGTTTTGTAGGCGCTATGCATTTCTCGCCGACCGCTGCTGACCGCACTGTTTTTGACGCAACGGATGAGGTATTCATGCAGTCTTGTAGGCGCTATGCATTTCTCGCCGACCGCTGCCGACCGCTGCTGACCGCACTGTTTTTGACGCAATGCGTGAAGTATTCATGCAGTCTTGTAGGCGCTAATATGTGTTACATGCCTACCGCCGCGCCGAGGCTTCTCCTTTTCATCTCAAGTCCTCGTCAGCATTGCTCTCTGCGCCGCGCCGTTCCAGGCCAAATTGCATGTTGGGTTTCTCTCTTAACTCGACTAATTAAAGGTGCTGTCTCTTGTATCACCGAAAGACGACAAAATTAGATATTACTATACTGTCAAGAAATGAGAGATTTTGTCGCCTTTTCTCGTTTGTAATTTTTTTTTCTGAATCCGATTTTTTTTATTATACATACTGTTAAAAAAATTGCAAAATTTACCGCCCCCTTTTGCCGCCATGGACCGCGGCTCATGTAACTACCCCCCAGATCTGGCCCTGGGGCGTTATGTTATGAAGTACCTATCACAGACTTTTGAAGGCGTTCTTAGCAGCTGAAGTCCGGGCACCAACTTTCACTAATTTTAGTCCCATTGATCTCTAGCCATCAGACTACTTAGTGAAATAATAAGATCAGGTGGATATATCTGTGAGTCCGCATTTGTTTTTTTGTGACCAGGGGGTTATGCCCCTAGCCGTTTCGTGGTCCAACTCCTGAAGCGCGGCGCGCCTCAGGTGTTAAACATAAGGATTACTCTTCTAATTTTGTCATGGGAACGGAGTTCCCCATGATATTACAATCGTTCCGTTGCTTTCGCTATGGGATTCCCTATACCTCTGCGACCTTGAGCGTTTCGCCCAGTCTCCGATTTTTGGTTGATTTTCCGATGTATCAAAAACCGTTGTATTTTTTAGCCAATCATGTCTCTACGTCAAGTTGTGTTGATT